GCCCCCAAAGATCACCTTGATCTCCAGCTTCTTCTTTTTGCCCTTCGGGCCAAGGGATCCCTCCGGACGTTTATCCGCACTTCGGTAATCCACATCCTGGGGCTCTGCCTCGCGCCGGTCGTCGCGGCGCCATGTTCGGGGCCTTGGGTTCAGCCTTTGCTGGCTGTTTTTGTTCAGCAGCTGAGTGAACTCGCCCAAGTACCCCTGACGGATCAGCTCGTCGATTGCTTTCTTTAGTTGGCTGCAATTGTCCGTCAGGTGGCCGGTCCTCTGATGGTATTCACAGTAGGCCGATTGGTCAAGCCCCATATGCTTCTTCATATCCTGGGGTTCCGTTAGGAGGCCCTTGTCCTTGATGGCCTCAAAGATTTGGCTCACTGGGTAGGCCAATGGGACATAGCGGTCGTCCGGCCGTGCTTGAATATCCCCGGACGGAGCCTTCCAGGGGACCATCGCCCCGTCCGTCCTCTTCTTTTTGTTTGGGGGGGAGGGCCCGGGCCCCGGTCCGGGTCCGAGCCTGTCCGCCATCTTCCGTGGGTGGGCCGCGGGAACTCCGTCCCGCTGCCTGATCTCCTCCTCAATGGAGGCATACTTCTGGGCCCGAGCCAGAACCTCGGTGTAGCTGGTGCCGGGATTCCTCCTTAGGTCCCGGTATAGATCCCCTGTGGCCAGCGCACTGGTGAACATGTTGGTGGCCAGGCGTTCGTCCAGATCGTCGATCTGCAGGACCTCGTCCCTCCACCTTACCAGGAACCTAGCCAGCGGTTCGTCCCGCCCTTGCTTGATGTGGGCGAGAGCCGTGACGTCCTTCCTGGGGGGTGGTGCTGGCAGCAAACTGCGCCATGAACTGCTGGGAGAGCTGTTCATATGAGTCGATGGTGCCTGGCCTCAACTGGCCGAACCATTCTTGCGCCGGCCCCCTGAGGGTGCTGAAGAACAATCTGCAGATGGCCTCGTCTGAGGCTCCCAGCATGGACAGGTTCCCTTGGTAGCTTATCAGATGGGCCTTGGGATCGCCAGCCCCATTGTACACCAAGTTGCCCGGGGGCCTGCAGTCCCGGGGAATCTCGACGCTCATCACCCGTGGAGTGAAGGGTGATGTGAGAGAGAAAGAGGGTGTGGCCGAGCCGACGTCCGTCCGTCTATTCATCTCGGCTATCTGTCGTTCCATCGCTTCCATCCTTGCCTCCTGTGCGGCCCTTCCGGGGGACACAGGGGGCGCGGCTTCGGGGACGGCGTTCTGCTGAGCAGCCACAGCTTCGTGCGGCCGCCTAAAGATCTGCGCACCTCGCCGTTGGAAACGTCGTCCGACGGTGTTGAACCTTGGGGTTTCGTCTCCCCGCGGGACTCGGCGGGGAATCGATGGCATGCGAGCTCTAGATGCAGCGATGCTGACCCTGGTCCGCCCTCCCGTTTCACGGGAGCCTGAACCTCCGCCTAGCCGCTCATGGACTGAGGGCCGGTGGTCGCTGGATCCCGTCGTATCATCGTACGACTGCATGCGGCGAATGGGAGAGAGGGGCGTTCGCTGGGTGCTTGCCGTGTACACCTGCTCTCGGGCCTCCCGTTCGTCTGCCAAACGGCGCATGGTGTCAGCGAGTTCCCGCATGAGGCGAGGATCCTGCCTGGCCTCAAGGGGAATGAGGTCAGTGAGGCCCCCGTTTCCCCCGGAGGTCCATATCGTTGCGGACAGTTCCGAGTTCTGGCCGCGATTCCGGCGGCTTGATTCCAGACGCTCGGAGAGATCACGCTGGTTGTTGCTTCCTGACATCGTGCTTGCTGTAGGGAGAGTTAGTAGCTGTTTGGGAGAGTTTCTGGAAACTTTTTTGTTCAGTTTCCCACAGACGGCGCCAGTGTTGAAGTTTGTTCCTTCCACCCTTGGACCCAACACGTAAGCCCAAAGATTTCGAGTGGAGTGAATGTATGAATATCTAGCCCAACAACTATCAGATGGATCAGGAAACAAAGGAAATAACAGGCAATGTAAATAGGTATTATTAACTTCGTAATAACTCCCCTAAGTACAATCTACTTGCTAAAAAGGGCACGTCGGCCGTTCGTCTTACAAGGCAGTAGAGATGCTGCGAGTAAGAATACAATTGCTAGGTGCTAAGAATAGAAAGTTGCCAACCCTTTACAATGAAATAAATGCTACTATTTATACCCGCCAATGGGCAGTTAGTCCTGATGATGTGGAGGATTGTTAGTGGCTGTGGTCCAACCACCAAATCTCCAGCATTAAATGCGCTTCCCGCCAGAATCTGGGTTCCCCGCCTAATTCCTGACCACGATCGTCTGGTAGAACCGGGGGCCGTTCGTCTGCGGCCCTTTGTAGGACGTAACAATCTTCTGGGCCTGGGCCATCTACGGAGATGGGCCTCGGCTGACGACGTTCGTCATGGATGTGCTAACCGACCCTCGGCTGGGACCTTGTGCTGTTATCCCGGAGATAGACATTCGTCCTCATTCCTTCAGGCCAGGGCCACCCGTGGGCTGGGCGACGTACGTCGGTTTGGGGGTAATTGGGCCGAACCCCTGCTTGGGGCCATTTACCCAACAGATACATATATCTCTTAGAATACTAAAATAAAAAGCAAATTTTTTTTTGATGAATCTAGATGCCTAGGCGGCCGATTAAGCGCTTTAGGCGGGTAATTAGGCGCCTTAGGCGGCCGACTAATTCACTTAGGCGCCAAATCAATTAGTCGGAGCGCCTAGACTAAAATCGGGACGCTCGACTACCGCCTAGCGCCTAGGCGGGGACTAGTCGGGCGCCTAGAACGATTTTTAGAACCATGATAAATATAATAATAATAATTGTTTTAACAAAATTTTGATAAGCTAAAACTAATTAGAATGAAAATTATATATTGATTGGGTTTCGTACAAGAACACTAAGAAAGATGACAAGAACAACAAGAAGGATGCTAAGAGAGCAAAATAGAATGTAAATAGATGTGTAATTCGAATGAGGTGCCTCTATTACAATTGAGTTCGATGCTACTTATAAGAGGGGCAATCAATGCCTTTTTGTCCGTTGTTGACAGTTTCGACCGTTATGACGACATTCAAAGTTGTCATTAATGTCGGTCAACCCCTCTATGTAACTATTGCTTTAATTACATTAATAACTATAATAATAAACATAAAACCGTTATAATAATTAGCTAGCATTAAACCCAATAAATGTGTCATTTATTGTCGTGGTCAAGCCTCTTGAATGTAGAATAAGTTGTCAAATTCTTGCACCAACAATTGCCTCCTTTCGAGAAGTTGAGGCGTATCATGCATATGTCGACCTATTAAGCATCAACTTGTCAAAAATTTGAAAGTGCACATCGCACCTTGGTTCATTGCATTTCAAGTAAGTTCCGACCGAGCCCGTCTCCTTGACTGAATCAATGAGGACTGAAAGCTAACATTTTATCTTCTCCCCTCCAAAATTGTGCTGACGACTAGGTGACAGAAATTTGCAACATCTTTCATGTTGATGTCGACACTTCAGCTGGCAAAGGGAACATCGTCCGTCGTTGAAGATGACGAGTTGGGTTGCGTGAACATGGTCCATATCCTGCAAAAATTTTGAATAACGTTTCGTTTGTATTTTTAGCAATATTGTCAACATGAGTGTTTGTGATTTGTGTCAATGTCATTCGTATTGTCTTCTTATGTTTTGGAGCTTCTATTGTCATGCTTTTGGAGCATGTGCTTCTGTTATGTATTTCTGTAGTTTTGGCCAAAACATTGCGGAGAATCGGTGGTGTTTATATTCATGTTTAGCGTACATGAAAACTCCCACTTCTTCTCCTAAAATTCTGTAAGCCCCCGGTCAATTATGTTTTGACGTGTTGTAAGACTTTGTTTTATGTAAGCCTCTGTCAATTGTGTTTTGACGTGTTGTAAGGTTTGGTTTGACGTAAGCCCCCCGTCAATTGTGTTTTGACGTGTTGTAAGGCTTTGTATGTTAGGACATCGTCTTGTCCATTGTCAACGGTTGCTGTGCAAAAAAGAATTCGTTAACGTCGGTCGTTGGCTAGAAGCCAACCACCCTCCGACGCTTAAGTTAGTGATCGTGTTATATGTAAAGAAAAGTAATAAATTAATAATACATATATGAAACTAAATAGATATCTATCGTCACAACCTGTATATAGTCAGACGATTTCAATCATCTCGTTAGGTCTGTTATCAGACGCCATGCCCCCCGTCCGACGATTTCAACCATGTCGTCTCATGTCTCAGGAGTCATGACAATAATAAAAGAAAATAATAACCTCAAAATGAAACAACTTTAAGAGTACCGTACTGCAGCTCTTCAGAACCTGTCTATCATTGGACGATATGCCCCCTGTCCGACGATTTCAGTCATGTTGCCTGATATGTCAATCGTCGGTTTTTTCAAATACACCAATGTGACGTTTCTACTGACTTCCAAGGCCCGACACGTCCCTAGAACCGCCAGATCGTCATCCTATGTATTCTCCTCCCTCGGGACTTAGCTTGTTGGATGGTACATTCGTTGGAACAAGTCGTCATGATTTTGATGATGTCAATGTTTCCCTTTGTTTTTGGATTCTTTGCGATTGTTTTGCTTCTGAAAATGCGCCTAAGTACCCAACCGCATAAGGAAGCTCCAATAGTACATTTTGACGAGCCATCACATCATCTATGCACACTTCCACAATTTTCTCGATTTGATTTTTGAACACCGTCGTCACTAGCCACTGAAAGTTGCCCCCTGCATTTTTAAGTCTGTAAGGTGTCGGCGAGTTCAACGAGATGAAACCAGCGGTGACGGTTGACGTATGAGCAGTTGACAAGATAATATGTTTCATTTCTTCCTTCCAACTTTCGATTGCATCTTGAGTCCCGCCATTGACATTGAGCTATGACCTTCCATGGGTGATAGTTTTTGTTGCACGATTCCCACAGACGACGCCAAATTGTTTTAGCAAAATTTTGATAAACTAAAACTAATTAGAATGGAAATTATATATTGATTGGGTTTCGTACAAGAACACTAAGAAAGATGGCAAGAACAACAAGGATGCTAAGAGAGCAAAATAGAATGTAAGTTGAGCTCGATGCTACTTATAAGAGGGGCAATCAATGCCTTTTTGTCCGTTGTTGATGGTTTCGACCGTTATGACGACATTCAAAGTCGTCTTCATGTCGTCATTGATGTCGGTCGGTCCTTCTAAGTAATTGCTACTTTAATTACATTAATAGCTATAATAATACACATAAAACCGTTATAATAATTAGCTAGCATTAAACCAAATAAGTGCGTCATTTATTGCCGTGGTCAAGCCTCTTGAATGTAGAATAAGTTGTCAAATTCCTGCACCAATAATAATAATAATAATAAATATAATAATAAAGTAATGATTGACCCCAACCCCCCCAACCCGCACGCAAACCCCACGCTGTTTTTTTTTTCTTATTAAAGGAGTGGGCAGAGGCGGTTTACGGTTCTGTTTTTATCGGGTTCGGTTCGGTTTCAAGTTGTTCGGTTCGGCAAAAAATGTATTTCGGTTTGGTTTTGGTTCGGTTCGGTTTGATGTTTGGTTTATAAAGTTAAAAAAATCATGTATAATTTCATATTTTTAAGTCAACATTTACTAATTTGAAATGGTTTATTTTAGGTTAAATCCAAACCAAATAAACTAAAACAAAGCAATAAAATCAAAATAGAGTTTTTTGGTGTTGTGTGTAAAATAGCAATGGTGAACAAGCAACGTGCCAACATAAATAAAATATAAGTAGTGATTTACATGTGGTGCAATGAGCAAAATAGCAATGATTTAAATGGTTAATAAAAGTGGGTGAGGGCTTAGGAGTTTGGACAGTTATGTTTCACTCCAAATCACCAAGTCACTAAACCTACAACCTCCTTAATGTATACATATAATGGACAAACACATTATCGTATTTCACTGGTACAACCAAACTTACAATCTCCATACTGCACACACATATGTGTGTGTGTGTTGTTCGGTGTTCGATTCAGTTTACGGTTTTTCCGTTTTAAACCAAACTAAACCAAAGTACCAAACCATTCTGTTTGAGCCAATGTTTACCAAACAGTTTACTTAAGTAAACCCCAACCAAACCAAATCAAACCATCAATTTTAATAATATATGAAAGTTTTTTTGCGTTTCTTTAGTTCGGTTCGGTTTTGAGTTTTATCGGTTTCGGTTTGGTTTCGGTTCGGTTTAATACGGTTTGAAAGAAATAGTACCAAACTCAAACCAAATTGCATACGGTTCGGTTTGGTACGGTTCGGTTAAACCAAACCGTTATGCCCACCCCTAGTATAGAATCTCAAAATCGTGAAAAAAGAGGATTTTTTGGTCATTGTGTCAAATAATAATCAATACAATAATACTACGTAATAAATACTTCTGTAATAATAAATTAATGATTGACCCCAACTCCCCCCAGCCCGCAAACCCCACGCTGTGTCTTTTTCCTTATTAAAGGAGTGGGCAGAGGCGTAGTTGGAGCAGCAAAAAGAAGGCATCATATCCACCCGCAAACACTTGTTGTAGTTTTCTCATCCAGATTTTTCTTTATTTCCCTAGCTAGCTAATTAAAAAACAATCCTTTTTTCTTTCTGTAAGCAATAAACAAAACCAATCACCATTAATTGAACTGTTGTGCGTGCAAATATGCAACTGAGGAAGATGGAGTGCCTGCCTTCTCGTACCGGGCGTGACCTGCAGAGGTATAATGTTCAAGGTTGCCGCCAAGTTGTTGGGTATGTATATATATATATATGTACGCGTGCGTAATTATAAATAGGCCGTCGTATCATTTTCTTCATCTTCTTTAATTTTCTTTCTTTCAATCTATAAGTAAAGCTGGTCGGGTAAGTAATTAATAAGGGAAAATGGAGGGTTCTAGCTAGATTTGTAAGTCATTCATATGTGGTTATGAAAGGCCCGGCACAGTAATCCAATCCAAACATTAAAGGCGTAAAGCTAGCTAGCTAGGTTCCAATGGAATTTGAACGCAGCATTATTAATTAATTATTATGACCAAGTGATTGGAGAGAAAAGCTAGCCCCGCCGGCGTGTATTGACGACTGACTTTTCTTGCCAATCCAGCTGCATTCCGTACAGGATAGCCAAGCAATCATCCATTCATGGGACCCGCGGCCCCATTGATGATCTGGAATTCCTCCTTGTCAGCTCTCAGAAAAGTCCAAGGATGATGTTTCCTAAGGTACGTGCAGTGAAATATTTATACGGAGTAAAATACTATACTGCATACTAGCTATCACTAGCTATATGCATAAGAAAGAGAAAAATGCTTGGCGTAAACAAAATGGGTTTTTTAGTTTGTGTGTTCAACAACGTACGTACACACTACACATTAACACGTACATACGGTTCTTGAAATACAACAGGGTGGGTGGGAAGTGGATGAATCATTGGAAGAAGCAGCAATTCGAGAAAGCTTCGAGGAAGCTGGGATTTATGGAGAAGTTGGGGTACGTAATACCATGCATAATCGACTGACCTTCATCTTAATTTTTATATATGCATGGATCAAGAAGGAAGATTGGATTGATGTTTAGTTTGTTTCATTATTATATATATTCTCGATCAGCCGGGTGTACCTTAATTAGCTAGCTAGTACTTATGCATCTATACATACACATACAAATATTGCAGAAATGTTTAGGTAAATGGTTTTTTAAGAGCAAGAGCTTAGGAGTGTTACATGAAGGTTTCATGTTGCCTTTGATTGTTATGGAGGAGATAGATGATTGGCCTGAGAAACATGTACGCCAACGATTATGGGTACATACGTGATACGTCTGTTGTCATTTATAGTCGGGTATATATAAATCATTCATTCATTGTTGACAAAATTTTAATGCGGCATTGCATGTTGAATTGAATTTGGTGCAGGTGTCGTATAGTGAGGCGATAGAAGCATGCTTTCATCCGTGGATGAAGGAAGCATTAGATGTGCTTGTAACTCAGATCACCCTTCAGCAAGGAGGTGGGGATGAGAAGACGAAGAAGAAGAAAGATCACGAGTCTTCAAGAAAGGGAGAATTGGAAGAGCCCCATCCCCATCATCATCATCAGCTACTGTCACTCAAAGAAGCCCCGACGAGCTGTTCCATCGAGTTCTTGAGGACCGAGTTGAATGCACTTCTTTAGCTGACTAAGCTAATTACCTTTAGGAGCGCAGCATGCATGCAATTCATGATTATATCCCAGCTAGAATATAATTGGATGGGTTTAATTGGTTAATTGGTTTTGTTTGTTTCCAGCAAGTGTATATATTTTGCAACCAAATTAGGGCTGCGGGGTTCACATCAAATTAAGTTCCGAGACAACCGCTTCTTTAATTCCATCCTAACCACCTTCTCATGCTTTTATTAATTATTATTAATTGGTTAATGTCTTAATGATATATGAATGAGATGCACAGGCCACCCTTCAACTTCATAACTATCTGTTTGAATTTTGCGTTATTACACTGTTAGCAGCTTCATCTACTCCGTCATTTGCTCATACATTTATTAATTATACATGCAAAGCTAGCTGTTAAATCGTGTGTGACCCCCCCATACCCGACCCCTACAGGCCTACTTCATTTCATCCGTCACAAAGAAGTCATTGTTAGTAATCAATATTCGGAAATTGTCATAAATAAATAGAGTAAACAACTCTCGGAATCAGTGGCGGAACCAGGGGGAGCGAGCCGGTGCCGCCGCCCCCCGTTCGCCGGCGGCGGTAGTGTGTATATATATGTATATATCTCAGCCCCGTTAAGAAAACGTATATATTACCGCCCCGGTGGAAGAATTTGAACAATGGTCAGCTAGGATGGTTCACTTGGAAGTTCCGCTGCTGAGAATATGTGCCTTCCCTACGTCCCGTGTTCGAGTCCCCGATGCTGTTGCATTTTATTCTGCTTTGTATTAGCCCTCACTTTGCTTAGTTTTGAATTTTTTACTCTGCCGTTCATATTTAGACATATGCCGCATGCCTACTAATTTTGTTCAATTGAATCACTGTTTGACATGATGTTGTTTAAACTATACTCTTTAAATTTTTATAGATTTTGTTTTACATTCTTATTTCTTAATACAAATTACTCCATTTGCCAAAAAAAAACAGATTTCACCTTTGGAAAATTGTTTTAAATAGGACTACAAGTGTTTGTGTATTCCAAAATAGTATTGTCATGTTTTTACTCCCTAAATAAGAGTAATTATAGTCATGTTTTGGTAGTATCAGACCTTAAACATGAGAGTTTTTTCAAAATTAACAGTAATTACTCCTATTTAGAGAATAACAACATGATATTTTATTAGAAACGCGATGATAATATGGTAAATAAATCAAAGTTTTCTCTTACCGTGAAAAAGTGAAAAACAAATACTTCCTCTGTTGTTTATTAGTTGCACCGCCTTCATTTTCATTTTGCCAATGCACAATGCTAACCATTAATTTTTTTTTAATTCCCTGATTGTATTATTTTTAAAAGGGAAAATAACTTTAAATAATATCAATTATTGCCCATAAACCAATAATAATACATACTTTGAAAATGATTTTTAATAATACCAACTATTTGAGTATAAACCAAAAATAATATGGAGTCACTTTTTGACAAGAAATCCAGTACCGAGTCAAGTCTACGAGTTGCAGTTCCTATCCGCGAACCCTACGAAGATCGGCGGCGACGCTCTCTCTTTCCGCCGTGGACGGCGTTATCTTTCTCCTAGCCTGGTCTAGGGTGAGTTTTGGCGGGCGGCTTTGACTTGTTCGATGCTTTAGAGTCCCGAAATTGCTAGTTTTTCTTGGTTGCAGAGAAGCTTTGGAACGGGAGGAGGTTGTGGGTTGGGGTCTGGGCGACGCAGGCAGAGCGTTTTTTCAGAGGAAGAGGTGAGGCCTTGTGCTTTGCTTTAGCCGATTAGTTTCCTGTGGGATCCTCAATTGCAGAGGAGTACTCAAGTTGGCAGCAGTTTTCTCATTCGTCCAGTGCAGCAAAGTACCGAATTTTTGCTCCTCATTTTAAGCAGTTCTAACCAGGTATGGGGTTGTGAGTTGGAATTGTAGGGGATTGGGGAATCTTGCTACTGTTCAAGTATTGGTTGATCTTATTCAAACTAAGAGACCGGAAATTCTATTTCTAATGGAAACTAAATCAAAAGCGGAGTATTGTGAGGAAGTCCGGAAAAAACTGGGGTTTCATGACTGTGTGACGGTGGACAGTGTGGGGCTAGTGGCGGGCTTTGTCTGTTGTGGAGAGAACATGTGCAGGTGGAAATCAGGAATGTGGATACCAATTTTATTGATTGCTTCGTTAAGTTGGGAGAGGATGATCCCAAATGGCGTTTCACTGGCTATTACGGTTATCCGGAGCGTAACCGGAGACGTGACTCTTGGAATTTGATTCGAAATTTGGCTAGGGGAACAAACGAGCCGTGGTTGATGATGGGAGATTTTAATGATGTTATATTTGATAATGAGCGCAAAAGCAGTGTCCCGTCTTCACCATGGTTACTTAGGGGGTTCCGTGAGGCGGTCTGGAGCAGTGGTTTGGTTAACGTTTCTTTTGAAGGCTATCAGTGGACATGGGAGCGTGGTAAGGGAACCCAAAGATGGATTGAAGCAAAGCTTGACCGGATTTTAGCCAACGAGGATTGGTTAACACTATTTGGAGGGCATCAAGCTATGTCTCTGGAGGGACCCACCAGTGATCATCTCATGTTGTTTATTCGCCCTAAAAAAGGAAGTTGTAGCAGGAGGAAAACTTTTAAATTTGAGAACATGTGGCTCCATGAGAACGATTGCAGGGAAGTGGTACAGAGGACATGGACTAATTCTTCCGGATTGCAAATTTGGCACCGTCTAAATGGTTGTGGAATGGAGCTGGATCAATGGAGTAAGAGCAAAAGGGTAGGATTCCAGGCCCGGATTGATGTATGTAAAAGACGGCTGGCTGCCTTGCGAGCAGAGGGAGGCAGATGGAATGCGGCTGAATTTAATCGGGTGAAAGAATCTCTTGTCTACCTCCTTGAGCGACAGAATATTTTCTGGAAACAACGTGCAAAAAATTTTTGGCTAAAGGAGGGGGATAAGAATTCTAAATTTTTTCACAACACGGTCAAGCAGAGACGCAGGAGAAATAAGATGAAAGGGTTGAGACTTCTGATAAGTCCATTTTTGTACTTATTTTTCTTATCAAATTTAAGCGATTTTTGATTGAAAATAGAAAGAAAAGGCATGTTTTATATATTTTGGTTCAAGTTTCATTAAATTAGGTGAAAATCACATTCATAATATGTTTCCCGGGATTTCGGGTCAATTGAGCACAAAATGAGTCAATTTGAGTGACAAATGCATTTATACCGGAAGAAGCAAGCATTTTATCAAGGTGATTCAGAAGACAAAGTTGAAGAGCAGGAAAAGCCGCATCTGCCAGACAAAAGTGGCAGAAGGCGCCCAAATAGGCGCCCAAAATGGCCGCCTGGTTGGCCGCCTACGGGAAAAATCAGAAGTCAACCTCGCTTTGACTCGGGACCAGGAAAAGACCGAAGGCTGCCGACACGAGGAAGAAGGCGGCCGCCCTCGGTGGCCGCCTGCGGCACAAGGGGACGAAACCAACCACCGGTCGGCCAGACAGGACGGCAGGCGGCCAGACAGGACGGCAGGCGGCCGCCTGCTGGACCGCCTGCGGCGGCCGGGATCCGCCAGGATCCGGTCTGCCAACGACAAGACCGGCAGGCGGCCATTTGTGGCGGAAGGCGGCCATTTGTGGCGGAAGGCGGCCGCCCTCTGTGGCCGCCTACGGCTGACGGAGACCGGCCACCGACCGCTGTCGGCGACGAGGACGGAAGGCGGCCAGAGAGAGGCGGAAGGCGGCCGCCTGGTTGGCCGCCTTCGGGGAAATTTTTCCTATAAATTGCCCGATTTTTGCTGAACTCAAACACACCAATTTCAAGCCCAAATGAGATCAAAAAGGGCGTCTTCTTCCTCCTCAAAACTCGGATTTCCACCATTGTTGCACCTTCAACTTCAATCTTTCATATCTTTCTCATTTTAGCTCCAAATTGTGAGTTCTTTATATGTATTTTCATCCTTTCAATGAGTAGAATCTGAATCTGTACTTAGTTTTTTCTATCTGTGCTTCTAAAGTTTCCAGAAAATTATTCCACTATTTCGCATTTTCTTCTTAAATTTGAATAAAATAGTTGTTGACATTAAATCCATTCCAATTAATTATATAGTTGTTTACTAGCCTCAAGGTAGTTATTTATCAAAACAAAGTTAATTTTTCCGAAGTAGAAGTAAATTTTAATTAATTCCGGCATTTAGTTGTTATTATTGCATAAATTAAATTAAATACTCAAAAAAGGAAAAAAATTAGTTTCTGTCCTAATTCCAGTTTAATTCACTGTAATATCACTCCTAGTAGTCAATATTTAATTTAGAACGAATTTAGAATATTTGTAGTTGCTTTTTTTTGTATTTTCTAGTTAATATTGAGAAAATTATCAATTAATTGTTAAAATTGGATTTCAGGTTATAAAATTCGGGAAAAATTCCAGAAGGTGATATTTTAGTTCTACAAGTTTATTTTGGCAGAATATTATTTTTGTTTAATTTTCGCTATTATACATGCTTAATTCCTTGTTAATGTTGAATTTATTCATTGTATTGTTAAATAAAAAATGATGTTTATTAGCTAAATTTGTTTTGGGCATGAATTGAGAAAAGGAATATGGATTGACTTGTTGACCTAAAATTAGGGGTTAAAATTAATAAATTGGACTAGTTGTTTAAAATGATGAAATAGTAATTAATAATAGTTAGCCATTTTCATTAATTAAATTCTTGGAAAATTAATTCTAACTTGTCTATGAGATTAGAAATTAATTTAAGCCAACCATATTTGAGCACATTAATAAGGCCTAGAAATAGGAAAATTTAATGAAAGGGATTTACATCTTGTCTATGAGAGATAAATTCAATTGCTTAAATAATGAGTTTAACTAGTTAATGAATTTGGCTATTTTTATTAATTAAAGTATTGGACAATTAATTCAAGCCAACCATTTTTTAACACATTAATGACACCTAGAAATAGGATAAATTAATGAAAATAGTTTCTATTCTTGTCTATGAGGAAAGAAATTATTAGTCCAATTTTAGTTTTAATTTCCCTGATTACTAGGTCCAAGAATATATCCATTTCTAATTACTCAATTCATTGCCCTTATTTGCATCAATCCATTTAAGTTTAATATTATATTTTTTTCCTTTAGTTTATTTTTGAGCCATCATTAGTATTTGCACAATTTAATTTACTTTCTTTTCCAAAAAGTAGTTTAGAAAATCAATCAAAAGTTTTAATTTGGAAAGCTTCCAATAATTTGCGATAACCTGTGACTGGACTTAAAATCAAGAAGCTCCTCCGCCATTCCTCGAGAGAC